TGCGCGTGCGTCGTGGGATAGGTCGTAATGTCGCTATTTATGCTGGTATTAGCATAATACGCTTTTATGCATCGCTTTACATCCATTGTTCACCAATTGTCGCTGAAATTTCAATAAATGTGAATTGCAAATATCGGAAACTTCCCTTCCTAAAGTTTTTTGCTCCGTCAATAAACCTTGAAGCAGTCGCTTCTGCGAATTTTGATACTAATTACATACTTCGATGTCAGAGGTTATAACTGTTAGGTGTATTTAACAAAGGAACATTTGCATTTCTGCATGTGTGTTTCCGGGGCAATAACCAAATTATCATCCAATTTTAACGGTCGTGTGGTTGACCGCTGTGCTTTGTATAGTCATTTTAAATAGTAAACATGCCAATTTGTAAGCAAATACACTAATTTGCTACGATATTTTCTTAAGTAAGTCTTTAAATTAATACAAAGTATTTTTGTTAAAGGAATAATAAAAAATAAGGAATTTCATCTTACAAGCTTACAACGTTTGACGACAAAAATTTTTTTTTCACATTTTAGATTTCAATTCCCAAATAACCGAGAATAATTTAAACTATTTTTATAAGGGTCTACATTCTTGTTCATGTATGAGAACGTCATCGATATGCAAACGATTGCGTCGAGTGCTCTCCAAAACGCAGTGCTGAAGTGACGAGAGCAGCTCTGACATTTCACTGCCTTTGTTTAAGCCGTGGATTTATATTCGAACCAACAAAGTCGTGAGAAGTTATTTTGCACTTAAATCTTGTTAGCGGTATACCTTTGATTTAGCTTAATGGGTTGCAAAGAGGAATACGTTAATTTTGTAGAGACTTGGAGCAGTGTCAATCCCACTTGCACACTATGTACTTCACTAAATCACGAGCGAGGCTCTGGCGACCGACCGACTGTAGAAAATTCATTGTAATAACACTGAACTAAAATACAGATTGGTGATGAACTGTATCTTCACCAATGTGAAGGTATCGGTTCTACTCTCACCAATACCTGCATATTACTCTACTGGAGGATAAATGTTTTAAGTCATGTAATATATGCCAAAGCATCTTAGTCCAACCGTGACTCTAGCTACAGTAAAACACTCTAAACGTCAAAAATTAAAATTAAATTAAATTCAAAGGCAATAAACCCTTAAAATTAATTTTATTTAATGTTTAGTATTCACGTAAAATCAAAGAGATAATTAAAAAGGCTATTGAATACGTGCTGAATAATATGATATGTAGATCGATGTATTTATAATATTTTTTTTATTTTCTTTCTCTTTTAAGAAAAGTTTTAAGAAAGCATAGAAAATGTAAGTATATGAACCAAAGTAAGAATTTTTCATTGTTTGAATTTTAGTTACTTAGTTATTAATTGATTAGACACACACACACAACACGGGGTTGCCTGGTAGAGAATGCCATTAAGTCCGTTCTATAAATAAATAAATAAAGAAATTAAGGAATGCAAAATATAGCCACGCTGCAGCGTATTATGACCACATCATAAATGGATAGGCTCGACCGGGGTAGGACCACGCTTGCAGCGAGCACCAGCGTGAAGCAGCAGCATAAGCCACGAGATTTGGAGAATCATTTTACTGGAAACCCGGTATTCCATCTAAGTCTTCTAGGAGGGGGGGGGGGATAAGAGGGATAAAGGGATGAGAACGTTGTACATTCCTGCTTTAAACAATTCCTATTGGTTTGTGCGCCCGTTCAGATATCAACGCTTTTATCGGCAAAACCGACAACGCCGAAAGTCGTTTGTACCAAATTTAGTCCTCTTTTCATATATATTTTTCTAGTGGGATGTTACGAAAATAGCGGAAGTCTTTTCTCTATGTAGAATGGAAATAATTATCTTCTCGACTCCCGTGTTGATAATAATATTAATAATACATACATTTTCAAATTATTTTAATTGATAAGACAGTTTTTATATATTAACTTCGAGATTTGTGCAACTCGTAAACTCATACCATTATTTAAATAAATAATATATTTAACGAAGTTGAGCCACGTTGCAGTTACATTCTAATTGCAGCACGAGTAGGTCGGTTCGATCCAAGAATGACCACGCTTTCACAGAAGCTTTACCAGCGTAAAATTGCACCTTTTATGCTTTTGTATTCCGTATGATGAATCTAGAGAACCGGAGACTCTTTTTACTGGAAAAGAGGCGAGAGAATAAAACTTGAGAATTTTCAATTGAAAGATTAAACCTTGAGAACTAAGTTCTATCTTAGAGAGAGAGACTAAGATAAAACTTAGTTCTCAAGGATGACGACGCATCTAATTTTTTTTAGTTTTTTAATCAATGATGGCTATGGGCTACAACATCTACAACATCCACAACATCTGGGCCACCATCAGGTGGACTATGTGCTCGTTTGTTACTCTTAACTTTTCTCTCTTTACGTGGTAGAGTCATGCTGCAATTATATCAGTTGTTTAGTTGAAGCACGAATGGGTCGGCTCCACCGGGGAAGGACCACATTCTTACAGAATAGCAGCGTAAAATAGCAGGAAACCCATTTTTAAGGAAATGAAGCATTCCATCTTAGTCCTCACGAGTGACAACGCATCTGCATTTCGATTCGTAATTGAGCATAGATGTAGATGTCTATGGGCCACAGCAACCACTTACCATCAAGTGGACTGTGCACTTGCTTGTCACCCTTATCCTATAGAAAATACCCATTTGAAAAAAAAAGTAGTATACAAGACCATTTTGTAGGTATTTACATCATGACATCTGCTCAATAGATTTAAGCACAGTCAAGGTATTTGACGGAAGCCAAGCCCTCTTCAACAAAAAATATTGCACACAGCTTGGTCTATTTTTGAGTGCATTTCGCGCTATTTTGGCGTTCCCTCTACAGGCAATGTGTCAATGACCCCGTTTCGCGGCGTTTGTTCACGTACTTTTGGAAAGTTTTGGGGCGATCTATGCACAGCTAAATCGTGCGGTATTTTCAGACGTCTTAATTTCGTTTAGTTTAGTTCCGATTTTTTCTTTTGTTTACTCTTTATATAAAATATTGTAAAAAAAAGTTGTTCACTGGTGCAACTATTATTATTCAAGAGAGAACAAATATAATTAATTATCACGATTTTATTATTTATCTAGCGTTAATAACTTTTAGTTCTAATTTAGTAATAAAAAAGGCAGTTTCTATGTCAATTAATAGGCACAGTTTATAATTATAATTATTTACGAATTGTATCTACTAATATCGTTGAAGGCTTCACAAAAAATTACGAAATTATCAAAACCTTATCTATTATTGCTTCTAGAGGGCATATTAATACGTTTTTTATGATAATTAGCACCGCAAACTAACAGAATAGTCGGTACTATCGATGGCACGACGCGAAGTTCAACGTTAGCATACAAAGGGCCGGGGCGAGGCTACGGCTTTTTATGAGCCGAATTCGGCTTTAATCTACGGTCTCTTACGTCGTGCGTGTGTGTGAGGTGTGTGCACAGAGCGTGCGCGCGCGCACTCATGCACGCCACGGCGCGCGCCCTCCTCAGCGCTGCAATTCGTCGGCGGCTCCGCACCGCGGCCCCCGCACGCAATTGCACTGCACTGGGCCGCGCTGCGTGCGTAAAAAGCGCACGCAGGGCGCGGGGAACGCGGTGCGCAGAGGATCGCGAGCGCTCGCCTGCCTCGCCTGCAACTAGTCACCCACAGACGCTCGCAAGAGCACGCCGCCCCCACAGGGCCCACGTAACAGGCCCTCGCGAAACAACCCCTCGATCGCGCTACGAACTTTCGTACAGTGCAAATGCGAAATTATTCACGACGTACCCGCGTTCGCGATATCCACGTTGCTGTTTTTGGATCTTTTGCTCATATTTAAAAAATAAGGTTAGTAATTATTTGTTTATTTTCTGAAAATTATTCTGAAAGATTCGACGTAACCGTGGTAGAGTTTCGGTCAAGTACACGTTACAAGGTAGGTTTTCGCTTGCGATTTTCCGCTCATATTTACGTTCACTTGTACTGAAAGCATAAAGATTTATTCATGCGGAATTTACAAGTTTACATGACAGGAGGGACGGTGGAGTAGCAGCTTTCATCGGTCCCCCTATGTTCGATTACCTGCCGAATAAAAGGTAAAAAGTCAATTTGGCGGTGAGGAAGGGCTTGAGGCGAAATATGTAAATGGGGAAGGGCGGTGCAGTCGGGCAGTCGCGCTAGGCCGCGTCGTACGTCCACATTGATCTTTAGTTCGCAACGTGCTGTGCACTAGCACCAAGCTTGCATACGCTCGTGTGCGGAATATCAGTTTTGCATGCATGTTATTCACTCACCTAACATGTATCCCGGATCTACATTCGACGGTATCTTACCAGGTATTTTTATAAATATATGTTTTATACTGTACTTTATTATTAATTGATATAATTATTATTTAAGTGACTATAAGATCAAGTGAAATATAATTATGCTGTTTATGACCAAAAAAATTAACATCTAATCAACACTTAAACACATACAACAATTAAACAAAAGTAAATATTTTTGATTCACAAGGCATCTTTTATTTATTAGACTTTAGTGTTTTGTAAATATTATAAACTTTTAAAAGAGAATTGTAGAATCAAACAAATAAACTTTTATATTAATGCAATAAAAATGCTATTTACATCTTTAAAAAAAGTATAATTTATTCTGCCTTCATGAAATCAAAATTCCTCTAATATTTATTATTGAAATGTGATCAAGACTGTTTTAATTTCTATTTATATTTTGCCATAACGATTACTTTGGTTAACTTGCATGTGATGGTTAGGTACTTTATTATCATTTTAAGTAAATTAAATAAGTTATTTTCATAATATTTTCTACTAGTTGCAACGAAAAGTGGAAGTAAACTGTAACTTTATTTAATGATGTCACAATTGGATCAATGTTTTATGGTTTTAATAAAACCTTAAATTTTGTAACAAATAATTTTATTGTTCACAGAAGCGCATTTGAGAAAAATGGGAAGCAGCGAAGGGCAGCAGACGTTCTGCTTGAAGTGGAACCACCACAAGGCTAATTTAGTGGAGATTCTTGAGGCTCTTATCAAAGTAGAGACCTACGTGGACTGTACGTTGGTAGTGGACGACCAGGTCACGTTCAAAGCGCATCGAGTTGTGCTCGCCGCTAACTCCCCCTACTTTCAGTCTATATTAGCCGATGTACCTATGGATCACTGTAGCATTCTGTTTCCCGGCGTCAAGGATTTTGAAATGCGTGCTTTACTTGAATATATGTACACTGGTGAGGTGAACGTAACCCAGGCGCATATCCCTCGCATTATGAAGGTGGCAGAAGAGTTGGAGGTGAAAGGGTTGTTTGATATGTCAGAACTCCGTCGTAGGCCGGGAAGTAGTGAACGGACACCAGCGGCCTCCCCTCCTAGAGTAGTGCCAGCTGCTCCTTCCAGCGTTTCTCCGCCCGTCTCCGCCCCTGCTCCGACTTGCCGCTGGCCACCACCACCGACTGCACCTGTTCTATCCGCTGCCTACGAATCTCCCGACATGAATCCACTGAAACGTAAAAAACTCTCCAGTATGTTAGCTACCCGTGACACACCGATTTTGAGAAATGTCCTTGCCCAAACCTCGCCCGTCGATTCTCCACAGCCTATGTCCCTTGTATGTCACCCTGTGAACCAGCACGCACCTCCGCGTCTTCACTCCAACGGGTCAGCTCATGAATCTGATCGTCCTCCAAGCCCACAACGCGCATTCGAATATCGCCCTCGAAGATTATCTTCAAGGGCCTCCTCTCCGCATTATAACCGATCTGATCGCTCAGAGGATGCTCATTCGCCTTACACGGAGCGCTCCTTTGAAGAAGAAAATTCACGCACTTTCCATTCCTCGCCTCCACCGCCGAGTTTCCAACAAGACGTAAGAGCGGGATTAGCACCCTACGTACCACCACAACAAAAACCGGAGTGGAAACGATATAAACAATACACAAGATCCGACATTATGTCAGCTATCGAATGCGTGAGAAACGGGATGAGTGCACTACAAGCGTCACGTAAATACGGTGTTCCCTCACGCACACTTTATGATAAAGTTAAAAAACTCGGCATAACAACAAGCCGACCGATGAGCAGAGGCGTTAAAAGAGAACCGAACGGTGCCGCCTTTCCCTATGGTTTAAGTGGTACTGGAGGTAACGAAGAAGGCACGCCGACAACACCTCTTATAGATCCATCTTTCCTTCAACAAGCATTGGAAGGCGCGACGAGAGATGGTGGCCGGGAAGCTCTTCATGCTATGGCTTTAGCGGCCGCAGCACATGCAGCTTTAGCTCCGAGAACACCCCCGAGGTCAGCTCCACAATCACCACGCACGCCTCCGCCGGACGAAGACCACGTGGAAGATCTCTCTGTATCTCGCCGTAGAGACGCCGATCAGCCAGCCGGAGTTATAGTTCCACCTCGTAATTTTGCTCTCGATTGCAGCAGCGAAAGAGATTGAGCGACTCTTAAAGTCGGCCGGGCTAATATTCAAAAAGACTGACTTAGGCGTACAAAGTTAGAAGTAAGGCACTTATTGCTAGGGTACTGGTACCACGCTGACCGGGCGCTCCGGCCGGGCGATTGCAATGGGCCCCGCGGCCACTTATATCTACCTCTCTTATTCTCTATTTATTTCCGAAGGCCACGAGAAGCCAAATAACGAAATAAAATTTCCGTTAGATGGTATGATGGTTTCTTTTTGTGATTTTATGTTTGTTTATTTCCTTCTCTAGGTTTTTATGTTTTATAACATTTACGTCTTTGTTAATGGATTAGCGTGTAGGTTAGCTTTAATTAGCGCGTAATTTTGTCGTAGTTGAAGCTATAACCGTATAGGGACAAGGGTGTAAAGGCTGCGCCGGCCGCGTCGACGCGCCTCAACTGTGTCTAGACGTGTTATTGTGCAATTTGTTGTCCGCGACTGTGATGTTTATAGACTGATACGCCGCCATTACCTCACGTTCGCTACAGATTAACTCTAGTCCGAAGCACCGTACGATGTTAACTTTATTGAAATATCCGTTATCGATATCGACTCCATGTGATTTTGACTTTGTCGCAGAGGATATTGTAAGGCACCGTGCGGCATGCGCGCTCATCACTTTACTAATAGCGACGTATTTAAAATAACTACATATTAATTCCTAACGTTATGGTTTAAGATAAATATAAATAAATGTTTGCGATTTGCCATAATTGTTTATTGTTGATAAATAGTTGTATTCACTTTGTCATTGATTGATTTGCACTCGCACGGACTTTCTTATTAGAGTTAGTGGGTTCATAATCACTAAGTAGATATGGTTGCTCAACGTTTTAACGCAATTTTCTAACAATAATATTAATTAAATTGTAACTTGGTAATATTTGGTCGCGAAAACCTATATATACGTATACGTAAAATTAATTTTAGAGTGTCATATACATACGTACTAATTATTGAATATTTAAAAAAAATAAGAAAATCATCAATGTATACATTATAAGTTTATAAGTTATAACCGAGCCCTCTTTGTTAATGTCTACATTAGATTTGAAGATATGTTATACCTCCTAAACGTTAACTGCTATCAGATAAATTTACATTTATGTTAATATTATCATATTGTTTAAGTTAATTATAATATATGCTTACTTATTTTTGCTAATTAATTGGAAGACTGATTTGTTACTGTAGTCTAGTTTGAAAATGCCATAGATACGTCTTAGTATTTACATATGTTTAAGTTGATCACATATCGATCGTGTAGATACTACACCGTGGAAATATCAGTGTTGTGCCTTTGTTGTAATAGAGATGTGTAATTTAGGACATTCCAGTAGGTGCACTGTGCTCCTTTCTAATGTATATCTGACACTAGACATGAGAGAAGACCGAAATTGCGGTCTCTAGAATACGTGTTACATTTATTTACATGCATGTTGAACTCATACTTGTCCAGTCATAGTAATATACCTCACTGTTTTGTTAACTAACTCAGATGTTATGTGATTATTGATTAATAATACCTATTTTGTGCCTATAAATATATAATTAAGTATGATGTTGTGCACTAGAGTTCATCTTTTAGTTGTGAATGCAAGATATCTTATGTACTTTATGTAAGTAGTCGGCTATGTATGTATACACGTGTAGTTAAATAATATCAAGTTTGTTTATCTCGTACCTACATACTATAGTAAGAACTCTATATTTACAAATAATATAATGTTATGAATATAAATTAAACGTTTAATATCTTACACATATTGTCATTATTTTATTAATTAATGTTCAATAATAAAGGTAACTTTTTCTTCCCAGATTTCAAATTTACTCATTTAAAATGGCTTAAAAGTTGTTGAAAAAGTAAATCATCGGCTGATAATAGTGTTAAATGAAATTCAATGTAAATAAAAATGTCATTTATAATAACATTCTCTACCATTAATAAGACACAATAACTGGGCGTCCGAGCTTTTCTCGTGAAAAATAAAGTTCTCAGGGATAAAACCTATCTAGTAAAACTTGTAAAGTAAATCATTATCTGAGTACAAAATTTCATCCAAATCTTTTAAACCGTTTCCGACAAAAAGTATACCTGTTCTAAATGTATATTTTATTTTTTATAATTTAATAGGTAATTCATAAATAAATAGGTTTGAATTTATATCGACACAATAATGATTTTCTAATAAGAACACTGAAATGAAATATTTTTCGACCACAGCTTGCTGTAAACATATTTTATAAAAATGCACGTAACTCAGAAAACTGCGATTTCTTTATTTCCAACTGCGAGGTTGTGGGGGCTAGAATACTAAAGTACAAAAATAAAAATTAAAGTCTGACCACATTTTAGGATTCGAACTCCCGCACTCCGGCGTGGTAGGCCTACGCTCTAGCCAATACAAATTAGTAATCACATTGCGTGGGCAAGTCAAGCTTATTGATTTATGGATGAAAACACATAGATAGTAGATAACGAAAGAATCTTTAATATGCAGTGCCAAACTGCACTTTAAATAATCCTAGTTGAAATGTAATCAACCGCCATCTAGTAGCGAGAAGTCGCGACTCATGAAGGCTTACTTAACCAGGGCGGCGGTCGGTATTTTGAAATAGGGTGAAATATTTTCATACCGGTAAAGTTATATTGTTAGAAAAGTGTACAGATTATTACGTTTTCTGAAACATTTGACATATTTCATATTTATTAGCTGGACTAAAACTGAAAAATTGTCATATGTTTCAGTTTTAATACAATATATGAAATATGTCTCAGTAAGAAGTTGAAGAATTTTAAAATATTTAAAAAATGTGCAAATAATTAAAGAGTACACCACTGTGGTCTTGTTTAGCGTAGGTACATACATTCACTAGAAACCTTTTATATGAGATGAAACTTTTCATACTTTTGATACACATTTGAACATTTGATATGGCACTGTGTAACTTTGCTTAAGTATCAACTAGCGACATCTAGTGTTGGAAGATTATTAGCTCTCATTACAACACTAGAAAATAAAGACAAGAAGTTGTAATGCGTGTGCATACACTTGTTTTTTAATTACAAATCCATGACCAAATAATGCGTCAGGTACTTAGAGTAGAGTATATTGCTTAATTATTAATTTATATTATTTATATTACAAAATCACCAATAAACATGTCAAACTATGCTTCTTAAAATAATCACGTATATTAAATATTATATTGGTGTTTTCCCTACTGCTACATATTTATTGGTCCTAAATGAATATGATATACGTATGACTTTTTTATATAAATCGTTAATACATCAAAAATTTAAAGAAAAACTTAATAAATTACTATGAACATTCTACATCAATATAATATTTTTGCTTTATGTTAGAGACTACTAGATTTTTCTGGCGTAGTCTTTTACTTCACTTAGGACTATGTCTCGTTACAATACTTACAAAATAATTTTTTTTTAAATATATTTGTCTAACTTCTTCAGTCTTTTATTATAGACTTATAACTGGTGCTTCTTAATATATCGTGACATAAAATTAATAAGGACTGTCTATACAAAGAAAGTAAATTTTTTTCAAAATTGATTTGTTCCTTAATACTTTTTCCAAGCATTATACGCACCATAACTAAACTAAAACATCTGGAAACTCGTGTGAGTGTTTTATAAATTAACGTAAATGTATATATATATATATATATATATATATCCATAGATATATAGTTTAATATATTATATATATATATATATATATATATATATATATATATATATATATATATATATATATATATGTATATATATATATATGCTATAGTTATCACGTTTGGTAAGCAGGTCGGCTACCTAACTACTACTAGTTTTTTATTTTTACTCGTCATTAGGAAGACGCTGCTGCTGATCTTCTGATTTGTTTTCCTCTGTCGCCTCTTACGACACTCACGGGATGATATGGAGTAGTGGATATTCTTACACCGCCACTATACGGTCGTTCGTTATAAGAGTTGTATATTCTTCCTTTTTCACAAAGGCCTCTTCCATAGAGATTCGCCACAAAACGCAAGCTGCAATCCTCAATCCTTCATTGCAGTACCAGAAGTCTCACACTTTTGACGGTGCTTCCTGTCGATCTAAGTGTTTTAACTACTTAGCCAGTGCTTGACTACAATCGCACCTGATAGTAAGTACTGACGTAGCCCTTGATTGTAAAATGCACTGACTTAGTTTAGCAAAAACTTATTAAATTTTGCCTTAAAAACTTACACATCGTCATCGGACGTAATGACAGATCCTAGTATAATATTCGACTACATTACTGTACACATGACTAACGTAAGTACTTTTTTTATTAAAATGTGACAAATGAGCACACAGTCCACCTGACGGTAAGTGGATGTGTACCATAGACGTCTACATTTATCCCCAGTTAAGAAATAAAATGCAGATGCTTTGCCACCCCTGAGGACTGAGATGGATTGCCTCGTTTCCATTAAAAAGGGTTTCCGGCTCATTACATTCACCATACGAAACACAACAGCATTAAGCTGTTATTTACGCTGGTGATCTCTGAGCGCGTGCTCCTGCCCCGGTCGAGCCGACCCATTCGTGCTGCAACCGTAATATAGCTGCAGCGCGACTCTACAACGTATATAACCACGTACCACGTTTGGTTCGGATGCGTGTTATTTCGACAATAAAGGGGTGGAAACTGGCCGAGCGTCTGGCAGTCCGATAATAGAACGGGTAATGAGGAATTATAAGTCTTGATATTGCTACGCACACTCTCTGAACTGTACTTAGTCTGTAAAACACGGAAAGGCTGACGCCTGTGCTCGAGACTAAAAAGATTGGTTTATAACATTTTGAGGTCATCAATAATCCCTTTCATTGTCCCTAGTAAGGCCAAAGCTAGGTGGCATTTTGCAATACCAGCACATTTTTTTTTAAGTAAAACGTTATCACCAAATTAGAATTTTCTCTT